ATAATTTTTATTGAACAATCTTTGACCAAAATATAGATGATTCACTATACTAGATCAACGCTCCATCTCAGATCGACAGCTTAGGAGATTGACATTGCTTTATTTTGCCATTATGTCGGCTCATGAAATACAGGGGCTGATCTAGGGGGTTAGGGGATCCAACAAAAAAAGGAAAACATTTTTTTTTAATGTCGGGGGCAAAAATGATTTTTGTTGTTGTAGTGCTTGGTACCCCCCCCCCCCCACCCCCGAAATATTGGTCGGCACCTTTTTAAAATGTCGGCCCCCCCCCCCTCTTGGAAAATCCTGGATCCGCCACTGGGTCAATCTCCCCCCCCCCCCCCCTTAGCAAAAAGCTAGAACCGCCCCTGAAATATCGGTCTCGTAGACCTTTTCAAAATGTCGATCTTATGGGTCGTCGCGGTTTCCTAGCCTGTCGGTCTATTGAGAGGAACCAATTTTCAATTCATCATATTGTGGGCTTCTTTATTAAATCAATATTTTTTGTTTTGACTCCCCCCCCCCCCCCCCGTTTTTCAGGTTACCAGCAGAAACTGAAACATTCTTGTCCTACCCAATGAACGGATTTGACAGCTTGGATGTCGCGAATGGCTCGAAGGGTGACAAACTTGGAGTTTAATTCGCATAGTCGCTTTGCAGTCTGACGGCCTTTTAGTTTTACCCGAAAAAAAAAAATATACAGCCGACTGAGCTCTATTTTATGTGATAATTGAAACACCCTATCGTTCAATTACATTTCATTTATTTGAACTGGGATGGTATGCGTCGCTAAAAGGGGGTGAGAGGGGGGAGGGGGAGGTAGTGTTGAGAAGGATGTGTGAAGAATTAATTGTACGAAGATGGGTAATCAGGGTGTGGTACCCCTGCCCCCTCTAAGGCCATTAAAATGTTTTCTCAGGAAAAATCTGGCGGTTGCTTTAGAGCTTTGCCGTAAATCGCAAAACAAATTGGCGCTTCTTAGCTTTTCGGAGATGTTTTGTGACGTCAGTCGGCATAACCCCCCCCCCCCCCCCCCCCTGTCTTCCAGTAGTTTACAATGCATTTATTTCAAAATCTGGGGACCAATTTTCTTTAAAATGTTCGAATTGCTCGTTGGAATATATTTTGATCCGCACCACCCCCCCCCCACCCCGTTCAAAGTGGGGTAGCGTCGCCCATGTGTAAAAAACGTTATCATTGTTTGTTATCAACATACGGTCAAACCTGACCATTGAGGCTGCTCATGGAGTATTTACAGTGGACACGCACTTTCTCAGTGTCTGGAAACCGAGAAAGTGCATGACCACTGTAAATACTTAGGTAATTTTCTATAGAGGTTCAACCATTTATTTTCGAGGGAGACAAAACGCATGCTCACTAGAGGTGGCCACTTATAGACAGGTTTGACTCATGGGTGTCGATCCCGGGGGGGGGGGGGGGGGATGGGGGGATATATCCCCCCCCCAATATTTCAGGTGGGGGGGGGGATGGCCTGTACAATCATCCCCCCTCCCCCCCCCCCAATAATTCACCATCAAAAAAAAAAAAAAAATGAAGAGAAGAATTAATGATGAGAGCCCGATGAGAGTAGTTAATGGTTATTACTCGCAAGATGACCATCAATATACACATTTTGCTATCTCATTTTCATAATACATACATAATATACGAAGTAAATGAGACAACCGTATATGAGACAAGAATAAATTGAATTCTCGCTCATACGGCTTCATCAGGAATTGATGAATTTATTCAATTTGTTCAATCAACAGCATCATAGAAATGCAGTGCGCCAAATGCAAAGACACAGCGTTAAAAAGCAACGAGCTAAATGTTAAGCGCGAAGCGCAAAAGTAGAAATCTGCAATGCACATCAGACAATCCTGGACAGTGTAAACATAGATGAACTCTGTGACGAATTCGTGATGATTTCGGAGACGAGGAGAAAGCTTCCGCGCTTCGCGCGGGAGCGGGGAAACTGAATTCATACAAGGATTTAGAGTCGAGAATGGTACAACGAATCGTTTTCTTTCTCTAATAATCTAATGAAACGTCAAAGCTTCCGCACTTTGCGCGGGTGGAACTGAATTCAGACAAGGATTAAGAGTCGAGAATGGTACAACGAATCGTTTTCTTTCTATAATAATCTAATGAAACGTCAAAGCTTCCGCGCTTCGCGCGGGTGGAACTGAATTCAGACAAGGATTAAGAGTCGAGAATGGTACAACGAATCGTTTTCTTTCTATAATAATCTAATGAAACGTCAAAGCTTCCGCGCTTCGCGCGGGAGCGGGGAAACAGAATTCAGACAAGGATTTAGAGTTGAGAACGGTACAAGGAATCGTCTTCTTTCTATAATAATTTAATGAAATGTTGAAGCTTCCGCACTTCGCGCGGGAGGGGGGGGGGGGGGGGACTGAATTTAGACCGAAAGATTAAGAGTCGAGAATGGTACAACGAATCGTTTTCTTTTTTTAAATAATCTAATGAAACGTCAAAGCTTCCGGGCTTTGCGCGAGGGCGGGGAAACTGAATTCAGACAAGGATTTAGAGTTGAGAACGGTACAAGGAATCGTCTTCTTTCTCTAATAATTTAATGAAATGTCAAAGTTTCCGCACTTCGCGCGGGAGGGGGGGGGGGGGGGGGGACTGAATTTAGACCGAAAGATTAAGAGTCGAGAATGGTACAACGAATCGTTTTCTTTTTTTAAATAATCTAATGAAACGTCAAAGCTTCCGGGCTTTGCGCGGGGGGGAACTGATTCAGACAAGGATTAAGAGTCGAGAGTGGTACATCAAATCGTCTTCTTTCTTTAATAATCTAATGAACCGTCAGAGCTTCCGCGCCACGCGCGGAGGAAGGGGAACTTAATTCAAACAAGGATTAAGAGTCGAGAACGGTCCAACGAATCGTCTTCTTTCTCTAATAATTTAATGAAACGTCAAAGTTTCCGCGCTTCGCGGGGGAGCTAGGGGGAAAATCCTCCTCCCTGCACCTAACCCCCTAGGGAGCGCGCTTCGCGTGCTCACTACCGCCCCTTAAAATGAAATCCTGGCTACGCGCTTGGGGAGGGGGTGTAACCTGCCACACGCTTCTACCTCTTGGTTGCTTTGATCCATTGCCGAATATATTTTGGCACCTATCATCCCCCCAACCACGGATACAAATCGACACCCTTGGTTTGACTGTATGCTTTCAAAAGTATGGCATCTTAATTCTTATTATTAATATAATATGCAGCATACTACGAATATTAACTAAAGATTACAGGACTGGCATAAGGTAGACAAATAGTAGTATATGATATTCATTTTGTACATGTATTCAAATATGTTATTCAGAGATTGATTTTCAATAAAATGGCTTGTCGGAGGGTCCAAAAAATGGAGAAAAAAAACACAAGGTAGACAAATGATTTTTAATAGGATAAGGGCATGAGATGGCTCAGGCAGAGATGCCAACCTCTGGACACAAAAAACAGACTGAGTATCCTAAAAAATCAGACTTTGGAGAGAAAACTCGAAAATTCGACACTACCAATGGCCGGTTGATCCCGGGCCAGTAAAATTTCAGAAAAATGTGATACTGGTACGTACGGTCAAGTAAAATGTTTGCTCTTTCATTAACATTTTAAAAGAAAATTGTAAAGCAAAGTTTCTGTTGGGATTGCAGGGGTTTACTTGTTCATGTTTCTATGAGATTCCGTGGTTTTTATGGGTACAAAAAAATATTTTAAAAAAATATATTGTTTTAAGAGGTGATATCGTATTATCGTATTCCACTCTTATTATCGTACTAAATACGATTAAATCGTATTGGTTGGCATCTCTGCTCAGGAGTTGTCCCTGGAAGTTCTCTTGACTTTCAGCGTGCACTACATTTGCTGGATGCTGGAATGTTGTTCTTTTAAACATTTAATATAAATGCATTTATTATGAACGTAATGTGTATGTGTTGGAGAGAGCAGAGACAATCATATTGTCTTCCGTGGAGTCAATAAGTCCTGTCCTATATTCTTTTTACAGGAATTATCTTTTTAAATGTTTCTTATATTCCGTTGATGATTTTTAAAAATATATCAATATGAGTGTTGTTTTTTTTTCTTTCCAGGAGGTGCTATCATAATGTTGAACAGTAAGATTGTTGTATTAAGATTATGGGATTATTGGTGCCTCTGACATGGCTATAAATGTATTTTTCTTTGTATATTCTTGAGCAGCCTGTCACAATTCTATATTAAAATGTGTGTGATAACTGTGCTGTTAATAATGGCAATGTTCAGTTATCACAGTTGAAATTTTCACTGCCATATGATCATGTTACTGAAAATGTCACAAGTTAGTTTATGTATATTCGCATTGTACATGTAGTAAGCATATTATGGGTTCTTTTATTTTACCTCCAAAAGTAACAGAAGACTACATCCATCCTAGACTAGATGGCGGTTCAGAAAATTCATTTTGGAGGGAGGGAGTCTGATACCAAATGGAATTACGGGAAATACGGGAATTAGTATTGGTACGAGGTCTATTTTCAGTAAAGGGAACTGTGGGAAATTGAGAAAGCACTTTAAAGCAATAAAAAGTGTTGGTCAGATGGAACAATTGTCAAATGTTAGAAGTTGTTTGTTTTCGTGTCTGTATTTTGGTTTTTGTATGTTTATATATTTTCTTTTTGTTTGTTACAATTTTTTAATATTTATAAAATTTTAGAAATTTGAGAGCAAGGTAGTTGGAAATTAACCGAGAGAGAGAGAGAGAGAGAGAGAGAGAGAGGGGGGGGGGTGGGCGGGGGTGGGCGAGAGAGAGAGAGAGAGTGTGTGGGTGTGTGTGTGTGAGAAAGGGAGAGAGAGAGAGAGCCTAAGAATGAGATAGAGGGGGGGGGGGGGACATGGGTATGGAAAAGAATTACTGGGATATATTATGGGGAGAGCAATGGAAAACCAAATATCCCCCCCCCCCCCGCGAAAATCACATTTAGAGAAGAAAAAAAAATCAAATTCAAATTAGATAATTTAATGATCTCAATCCAACGTTCAAAACATATATATGATCATTCGTAACTTTGGTTTACACAAAGGATAAACAAATTAATTGTAGTGCAACAAAGATAGTTGAGAGCAACGTTCAAAACTTATAAAGACCATTTTTTCCTCATTTTTTCTGCTTTCAATTGAATTTAGTGATAATTCTTTTGTAATGAGTGACACAAAATATGTCTATCAACATATCTTAATAGGTAGAGCACCCCAAAAATAAGAATACATCACAAATATTTAATTTTGATTTTTTTATGAAATATCTCACTGAATGCTTTATTTGCTACTAACATTTTCATAAACAGGTATATGCGGTTCTTCAGAAAAACTAACAATATAGATTCTTCACCGCAAAAACCTGAGAAAATGAGGTAAGGATTACCCTTTTCCAATTTTACATGGCTTTATTTAAAGGAAATAAGTATTGACAATCCAACATGTTCATATTTTTTAACAGACGGTTATGGTGCTTCAAAGTAAAGTCAGTATCAATGACTAGACTTATTGTATTTGAACACAAAGAGTTGTCAAAAATGCCAATTTGTTCAATATTTGTTACACATCTGCAGGTGCAGAAAATAAATGTCCAACAAGTGACTAAAAGCAGCGAATTATATATTTGCAATTTGCATTTAACCATAACAAAAAGAAAACTATGATAATAGAACAAAAATGAAATGATAGGAAATGTTTACAATGCCATGAATTTCAGTACATCTATTTGAGAAGAATGCCCTTGAAAGGCAAAATGTGCTAAAGATAGAATCAAAAGGGACTTATAAAGTGCAGTAGATCCTTCTGGCAAGCGATTCAGAAAACTGAAATCAAATTGATGGCAATACAGAACATGTATTTATTTCATTATCTACTGCATGTAAAGGTTATATTCTAGGCCTCTGATTGGTCAAAAGTGTAGGCAAGAAATTCACTACTGACTACTGCGCAGTAAAGGAAAACAAAATTGACCAGGCATAGTTCTACTGCGCAATAGATATAATTATATGGGTACGCACACTTCTTTTAGACTGGCAAATTTTCCCACATTTTAAAAGACATTTTCAAATTACATTTTTCTACACAATTCAAATTTTTATATCAGAGTTCATGAACTTTGAAATAAAAATTTGGCTGCAAGTGAAAGAAAAATACACAGGACTGCAGAGCAGTTTAGCTCTTGAAAGCTCAAGCGTTCTAGATATCTCACCGGAGCTCTTTAAAAAAGTTACATGTCTAAACAACACTTAAAAATCACTACGATCATAACAGCAAATCCAGGACAGTTCCTGTAAAAAAAAGTGCCATTACACTGTCATGTATATCCCCCCCCCCCCATTTTTATTCAGCCCTCTTAACAATTCTTTCCTTTATTACAGCTTTAAAGCCCATAAACAAGCTTTATTAGCCACATTTGTTGAACCTATTTAGAAAAGAAAAAAAAGGGTAATAATCACTTTTTCCTTGCCAAGATCTAGAATGTGAGCTTATATATTAAGTAAAAAAAAAGTTGAACAATTGCCATTATTCTCAAGTCCCTTTCACATATTTACACTCCAAGTCATTGATAGAATATTAACATATTTGGCACATGTTTCGTATGATGTAAGCTAGAGAAACAAGGTTTTGGGTTGTCAAAATGTAACTTTTTTCATTTGAAATAAAGACTGCCCTAAATTCAGTTATAGTTCATGAAGAGTATAGACATTTGGTAGCATCAGTAATACACACTGTATGATACACAAAAATTGAATCCGCAAAAGTTCATATTTTTCATCTCATTCCGGTACAGTTTTAGCTACCCACTGCAAATAAGGCAGATTTCCATTTTCAATAGGCAGGCTGATGACCTCAGCGACATCGTAAGGATGATTTTTGCGCACAAATTCTGAGAGTTCATCGATCTTTGACCTTTTGGTCTTGATCATTAAAAGCAATTCTTGGTCCTTCTCGATCTTCCCTTCCCATTCATACACAGAGGTCAAACCAGGGATGACGTTCACACATGCTGCTAACTTCTGCTCAACAATGTCTCTGTCAAGAAATAAAGGAAGAAACAAGATGATAATAAGCTTAATTTCTTACAATTCTTTTATGTGTCAGACTGAAGATGTTTTACAATAGAATTTTTTCTTATTTCCCTTAAAATATAGAAGGAAATATTGACACTGTTAAAGCCCCACTGTCCTACTTGTAGCTACTTGCTCCTTCTATATAGAAAACTTCCCCAATCGGCGCCTGTTGGTTCCCCATGATCCTCTTTTTCTTATGTTAGTTAAGAGCTGAGTTAATGCGATAGCCACCTGTCAGTGACCTCGCTGTGTGTCTAATCTGTCCTACTTGTAGCTACTTGCTCCCTCTATATAGAAAACTTCCCCAATCGGCGCCTGTTGGTCCCCCATGATCCTCTTTTTCTTATGTTAGTTGAGAGCTGAGTTAATGCGATAGCCACCTGTCAGTGACCTCGCTGTGTGGTCTAATCCCTTCTGGCCCAGTAGTATTGACGGTCTTTAAAACAACAATTTCATTTTCACATTTAAATCATTTAGGCATTTCTAGACTATTCCTATTTCTATAATCACTCCAACCATGTCCACTCTCTCAGTCTCTCCCATGATTATTCATAACCCTATGAATTCCTTTCATTTTCTTAACTTCAATTATCTGTTGAACAAACGAGCCTGAATAAAGCAATTTTTGGTTCTCTGAGCTGAGGTCAGATGTGCATTGGATGTGTGTGTGTGTGTATCATAACAAAACCTGTTATGAAAACAAAAGAAGTCAGTAAATTTTTAAAGTAGAAAGGGGGAATTTTCATGAGGAGTCTGCTCATCATCTTTTGATTTGTAGCAGAGGTTATCCCTTTGCAGCAAATGTAAATATAGGAAATTGGTATCCCAAATAGGAGACTCCCAGTTAGGCTACCCAAATCTGGACAAAAGTCTCCCAATGTATAGCCTATAGGAGGTAGTCTCCCATATTTGGTTGTGCGCCATTAATATGATCGATGTTCGTTAGATAAAGGTTTGACATCCCAGCAATATCCACTCAGCCTAATGAATATTAATTGAGCTAGAAATAGAATATTAGTCCCTAGGTCAAGGCATATATTTATAAATCAATGGGGCAATTATAAGCTAAGAAAATGACAATGAGGGTTTGAAACCAAGTCGATGCGCTAATTTGGTAAGGCATTGATTCTCATTACCAAGTCCCTCGGAGAGGACTTAAACTAAGCCGTCAGTACCCTGGGGGCTGTTTCTCGAAACCAACTCCATGACAGTCATATCTTTGTCGCCGACCTACGGAGATGTCATGAAGCGGATAAACCGTTTCACAAAGCCATGACAGACATGATATCGATATATCGCGATACTAGCAGCTCAAGAAGATAGTCTTTGTCATGATCCATTTGATTTATGAAGAATAACCCAAAACAAGTTTTGGGGCTAAAATTGTTCAAAAAGAAATATATACATATAAATTCTCCTAAAATAAATAATAAATAGTGTCATTGTCATATTTACATCATCAAACGATTTGCATATTTCTGTAAAGATTCTTAAATTGAAGAAAAAACGGTGAGTGTTTTTTTTTTGACAGTCGAATCAAAATTTAGTTGAAGGATACCGTAATGTGATAGTTTATCAATACATACTTTTTTGTTTATTGTGATGAGGAATTTTAGGCAAAATGTCTTTTCTCAGCCAGTTTTTATTCTAGAGTCTCATAAATACTCGTTATATAATTGATTTGATATTGAAAATATAATATGGAAGAAGTAATTAGAGAGGGAATAATAATGCACATAGGCCCCAAAGGTATGACGGTACGACTATGGATCGACTATGGAAAATGGTGTGTAACATTCTTACCTCTCTTATTTATATGTTATAGTTTAATGATTTGTGATTTAATGTTTATATTCAGCTTTTTAAAGTTTCTGTATAATTTGTATTCTCACTTTTGTACATTTGCATTTTGCATCCCAGAGAATTACGTACCGAACTCGTCTATATTTTTCTCAAAATGATAGTGAAACTAATCGTCCATTTCGCGGCCCATAGAATGGCAACAAACGGACTTGTGATGGCGCTTTACAGAAATTAAAAAGATATGACAGGTTCGGAGCAGTGACAACTCGCTTGTCGCGGAAGTTGTCGCTCATCTTGGCAAAGACGGCTTCGTGAAACACTTAGCTGACAAGTTGCGCGACAGTGGCGAGATGTCGTTGATCTTGTAGTTATGACGGTTTCGAGAAACGGCCCCCTGGTTGCTAACTTACAATTTTACAAGCATACACACGTTTCCTGAGCAGTCATGTAAAAACGAACAAAGAAATAAATGTACGTGTAACTTACGAGGCCAACTTTTCAGCAACTGTAGCATCTGGGCCTGGGACCGTCACAAATGCTGCAGTCAACTTGCTTGCTGCCTCGGTGCTCGATTCGTTACTCGTCATCGTCCTCGATAAGACCAATCCCAAATTCAATTTAGTAGGAAGAATTCTCTGAAATACACCTCGAAATATCAGAGACATAGAGAGGAAACTTGTAAGACCAATCAATATAGGAATTATGACAGCAGAACACCTCATATCAACTTATTCCGATCCTGAGGAAATTACATGTAGGCCTATACTGACGTACATCATGATGGCATCGCATCTACATCTATGGAATGCTGCAAAGGACCACATTTAGTATAACATTAAATTTGTAATGACCTCTTATTTAGACATCAAGACCTCTCTTATTGTTATCAAGATTTGAACAAGTTAAAAAAATTAGACCTTCATGTATAAAGATAACAAAATTCATTTACAAATTCTTTAAACTAGTTCATATTTAAAACCCGAACAGCTTTAGCCTAAGATTGGTTTTATGCATATTGTAGCGTTCCATAAGCATAGGCAAAAGAAATAAAACTGTGGGTAGATGTAATTTGCAGGCGTAATTTCTTCATAGTAAGACAACATAAGGAAGAAAATACAGTCTATGAGTAACCTAACAGAAGAACTGTCAAAAATATTTACTTGTACACTTTTTTTCTTCATATTGATTTCTTTCCAAGAATCTTTATTCTTGATTAAACCAGGATATTAGTTAAATGTCAAAATAGAGTCTGTATACACAGGCCAAAAAAGCGCGCCACATTAAAATAAATGGGGAAAGTCCCGTGATGGCAATCCAGGGAGGAGGGGGGGGGGGGGGGGGTGGCTCTCAACATGGCTGGTAACGCACCGTACCCGTCTTCTTCAGCTATACAATGCAGTGTCGTCAACGTTTTTTGTTTTTGTTTTTACTTAAAAAGGGGAATATTTCAAGCACTGATCACACAACAAACAGAAAAAGGGTACCTTTTTAGGTTCACAGGTTGCAACGTTTTCTTTAAAAAGGGTCAATTCAGTAAAGGTGCGATACACCATTAGGGTCAATTTCAGAGGTTGATGGACACGGGGGATAGCACTTGTGTACAAGAGTGACCCCCCATTACAATAAGTTGAGGGACATCTCCATAGAGGCCAAGCGTATTCAAAACGCACCACAAAAGGGCGCACAACCAGGTATGGGCTTTTACACACACTGTCCATTTTACGAGCTCATATCTCCCCGAATATATCTTGATGTACAAAAGAACCCAATTTTAATGAAAATTCAGGTATAAGACTTGCTGTAGATGCCAAATTTGTCTACTTTTGTGAAAGTTTTACATAGGTACCTTTCGAGTTGAAAAATAGCTTACAGGGCACTTTCTAGGGCAATTAGCCTGCCACAACACGCGTTTTCACATTGACGCGAGGTGGAATATTTCCAACCGGATTTCCAACTTTGGCGGGGCGTTTCACTGTCGACACGTTGTTCATTCACAAAAAAACCTACATAGGTAGTTGCAACAGATCCTTATGCATATTCATGAGAAATTTCGTGGCAATTTGCAAAAATTCGCCATAGGTACCTTGTCAATATTCATAAACCTTGTCAATCCGACTAGCTAGCACGGCCATTTTGCCCATGCCATAGGTGTACACACAATAGCATGCGCGTGCAACAATTGTAATACGCGATGCTGATTGGATAACTATCGTTAGAGTATGATGTCGCATAAGGTTAGCGCGTGATCACTTCATAAATATTCATTCCTTATGACCTCCCAACGGCTCTCAACGACTGGCGCGCGCGTATGCAATGTGCACACTACGCGCTAATTGGTTTAATCTGTTTTACATTGCGCGTATGCGAATAAGGTCAACTCGTGATAGTTATATGAATATTCATTAATCAGTACCCCCAATGGGCTCTGATTGGCTGTATGTAAATGAAAACAAATACGTCATACCTCATTAGGTTTTGTCCCCTGACGCGTATTAACTTGTTGTAATGCCCCCCCCCCCCCCCCAACTCGACCTGGTTGAATTGTCCAGGGTATTGGGTCGGGTTGTCCAGAGTCGGGCTGTCTTTGGATCAGGCTGTCTAGGATTCATAACAAGGGGCACTAGCTTATTATATAGAAGTTAAATAATGCAAAATGATGATGCACCTAGCTAGGATTAGTATAACAAAGGGAAAAGGGGTACCTATATCAGATTGTGATAGGGGCACTTATCAGAGGTGAAAGATCAATTAAAGATGTTCAAAAAAATGATACAGAAATATTATATGTCTCGTAAATTTGTAGACGTTACAGAAAGGCCGCACTCCGTTCTATGGCAGAACACTCACATTCCTTTCAATGGAGTGCCCTTTATGATACTTGGCAGAACACTCACATTCCCTTCAGTGGGGTGCCCTTTATGATACTTGGCAGAACACTCACATTCCCTTCGGTGGGTACGTGCCCTTTATGATACTGGGCAGAACACTCACATTCCTTTCAATGGAGTGCCCTTTATGGTACTTGGCAGAACACTCACATTCCCTTCAGTGGGTACATGCCCTTTATGATACTTGGCAGAACACTCACATTCCCTTCAGTGGGGTGTCCTTTATGATACTTGGCAGAACACTCACATTCCCTTCAGTGGGGTGCCCTTTATGATACTTGGCAGAACACTCACATTCCCTTAATTCAGTGGAGTGCCCTTTATGATACTTGGCAGAACACTCACATTCCTTTCAATGGGGTGCCCTTTATGATACTTGGCAGAACACTCACATTCCCTTCAGTGGAGTGCCCTTTATGATACTTGGCAGAACACTCACATTCCCTTCAGTGGGGTGCCCTTTATGATACTTGGCAGAACACTCACATTCCCTTAATTCAGTGGAGTGCCCTTTATGATACTTGGCAGAACACTCACATTCCCTTCAGTGGGTACATGCCCTTTATGATACTTGGCAGAACACTCACATTCCCTTCAGTGGGGTGCCCTTTATGATACTTGGCAGAACACTCACATTCCTTTCAATGGGGTGCCCTTTATGATACTTGGCAGAACACTCACATTCCCTTCAGTGGAGTGCCCTTTATGATACTTGGCAGAACACTCACATTCCCTTCAATGGGGTGCCCTTTATGATACTTGGCAGAACACTCACATTCCCTTCAGTGGGGTGCCCTTTATGATACTTGGCAGAACACTCACATTCCCTTAATTCAGTGGAGTGCCCTTTATGATACTTGGCAGAACCAGGCGCGGATCCAGGATTTCTTAGGGGAGGGGGCCCAACTTCTTTTTTTTTTTGCTCCCGAAAATTTGAAAATCGCGCCGGGGGGGGGGGGGGGGTAGTGAGCACTTTTTTTTTTTGATCCTCAAAAAAATTTCAATTTGCACCCCCCCCCCCCCTTGAGCGCCAGGGGGGGGGGGCCCAACCCCCCAAAAAGGTAAAAATCACGTGATTTTACATGATTTTTTTTCTCAGGGGGGGGGGGGCCGGGCCCCCCGGCCCCCCCCCCTGGATCCGCCACTGGGCAGAACACTCACATTCCTTTCAATGGGTACGTGCCCTTTATGGTACTTGGCAGAACACTCACACCCTGATAGCAGAGACTGGTAAATATCACGTCATATTTACGTCTTGCACTACGTCTTTAAGACGACATAACACGACGTAAAAAAAACATGATTTTGCACCCGCGTACGTCGTCATGAGGACGTCATATTTTGACGTGATTTTTACGTCTTATTAGTCAAAGAAAGACGTCTTTAAGACGTCAACTTGTGCCATAGAAAGACGTCGTATGAACGTCATATTTACGTCTTTTAGTTAAAAAAAGACGTCTTTAAGACGACATAACTTTACGTCAAAAAGACATGATTTTGCACCCGCGTACGTCGTCGTGAGGACGTCATATTTTGACGTGATGTTTACGTCTTATTAGTTAAAGAAAGACGTCTTTAAGACGTCAACTTGTACTACAGGAAGACATCGTAGGGACGTCATATTTTGTCGTGATTTTAACGTCTTATTAGTCAAAGAAAGACATCTTTAAGACGTCAACTTTTACCCAAGAAAGACGTCTGTAGGTGTATACGTTGTATGGACATCAAATTTTGACGTGATATTTACATCTTACTGGTCATTTCGATGTACCTTTTATCCCTTCATGATCTTTACGTCTTCTTTGTCCTCTAAATGACATCTATATGACCACCTGATCAAGGAAGAAAGTGTAAAAGTCACTTCATGAATACATTCTGAACATTCACACAATAAAAATAGAGCAACTAATATTGCATCACATAATATATACACATGCCAGACAGAAAGTAATTTTCATATTTTTAATGTACATGTATATGGTATCAAAATGGATAATAAAAATATAGAATATTTATTTTTATACCTTCTTCTATTTAACTTGTCTTCTATACATACAGAATCTTTCCATCACCATCCTGACACTTCTTCCAAAACATGCTGTATAAATACCTAGTGTATTTCTGTCAGTCTCATAATTGATTTTAAGAAAGTTAACAGGCCATCACAAAGATATTTGTTTTGTTATAAATTGTGCTACTTCATTTCAAATTTAATTCAGTTACAAGAAACTATGACATATATTGGCTTACCTGGTAACTTATAAGTCTAGCGGTTGTGAGAAGCAGGTTAGCAGCATAGAGACTAGGTAAAGCTACACTGATACCCGCAGTTGTTTAGTAGACAAGAAAACAGCAGACTTGGGAAGTTCCTCATATTCAGCAAAACAGCACAGTGGAAAGCTGGGCATTCATCAGTGCAGCTCTACCTCGTCTCCATGCTGCAACACTGCTCCTCACAACCCCAAGACTTTAATGCAGATAAAGACTATTACATAAAACAAAAGGTTGTTGGAAACAATTCCTGAGCATGAAAGATCAATACTTGTTAAATAAAAGGGGAATATCTAAGTTTATGGCAAGAATTCAGTATAAAGTATAAAACTATACAATCTAAATCACACACAAGAGAAAAATGGCACAAATGATAAACACATGGCTTAGCTAAGTTATTTCTTACACTCAAAAGGAACAAGTTGACAGCAAGGGGAACAGGGACAGCTTCACTGATACCTGCAGAGTTTTCTGATGATGGTTGCTTGCCCGTTGAAACCACGATGTTCACATTTGGCGATACAGCATATTTGAAAACTGTGCAGAAATCAGCTCAACTGTACCTATTCTCTGTGCTAGAAACCTGCTTCTTACTGGCACATGACTTAAATACAAGAAAAGGCATTGGTGGCAACATTCATATTTTATAAATATAGGTATCATCAAAAAACATTTTGTTGCAAAATAAGTTCAAGTATAAAAATACAATTTCTATCAGATAACATTCCCGCCAGTACGAGTGGCTCTGATTCCCTTCAGTGGGTACATGCCCTTTATGATACTTGGCAGAACACTCACATTCCCTTCAGTGGGTACATGCCTATGATACTTGGCAGAACACTCACATTCCTTTCAATGGGGTGCCCTTTATGATACTTGGCAGAACACTCACATTCCCTTCAGTGGAGTGCCCTTTATGATACTTGGCAGAACACTCACATTCCCTTCAGTGGGGTGCCCTTTATGATACTTGGCAGAACACTCACATTCCCTTCAGTGGGTACATGCCCTTTATGATACTTGGCAGAACACTCACATTCCTTTCAATGGGTACATGCCCTTTATGATACTTGGCAGAACACTCACATTCCCTTCAGTGGGGTGCCCTTTATGATACTTGGCAGAACACTCACATTCCCTTCAGTGGGTACATGCCCTTTATGGTACTTGGCAGAACACTCACATTCCCTTCAGTGGGTACATGCCCTTTATGATACTTGGCAGAACACTCACGTTCCCTTCAGTGGGTACATGCCCTTTATGATACTTGGCAGAACACTCACATTCCTTTCAATGGGGTGCCCTTTATGATACTTGGCAGAACACTCACATTCCCTTCGGTGGGTACATGCCCTTTATGATACTTGGCAGAACACTCACATTCCCTTCAGTGGGTACATGCCCTTTATGATACTTGGCAGAACACTCACGTTCCCTTCAGTGGGTACATGCCCTTTATGATACTTGGCAGAACACTCACGTTCCCTTCAGTGGGTACATGCCCTTTATGATACTTGGCAGAACACTCACATTCCCTTCAGTGGGTACATGCCCTTTATGATACTTGGCAGAACACTCACGTTCCCTTCAGTGGGTACATGCCCTTTATGATACTTGGCAGAACACTCACATTCCTTTCAATGGGGTGCCCTTTATGATACTTGGCAGAACACTCACATTCCCTTCGGTGGGTACATGCCCTTTATGATACTTGGCAGAACACTCACATTCCCTCCAGTGGGTACATGCCCTTTATGATACTTGGCAGAACACTCACGTTCCCTTCAGTGGGTACATGCCCTTTATGATACTTGGCAGAACACTCACATTCCCTTAAATCAGTGGAGTGCCCTTTATGATACTTGGCAGAACACTCACATTCCCTTCAATGGGGTGCCCTTTATGATACTGGGCAGAACACTCGCTCTCCCTTCAGTGGGGTGCCCTTTATGATACTGGGCAGAACACTCACATTCCCTTCAATGGGGTGCCCTTTATGATACTTGGCAGAACACTCACATTCCCTTCAGTGGAGTGCCCTTTATGATACTTGGCAGAACACTCACATTCCCTTCAGTGGGTACGTGCCCTTTATGATACTTGGCTCAAAAGTTTTGATTTGCCAGCACGGAACCGTTGATAATATCTATAAAAAGGTGGCATATAAAGAGAGAACTAAAGTAAGTATATATTATATGCTACACATCTTCCTTTAAATTACAGCTAAATTATCAATATTATTTAAAAATTGGGCGCAATCTTTATAATAGTAATAACAATGATTATGTTGATGATGATTATAATAATAATAATAATAATAATAATAATAATAATAATAATAATAATAATAATAATAATGATATGAATAATATGAATAATAATAACAAAAAAGTAGCAAAATACAAATAAAATACAATAATGTTTATATTATAAAACATTTTCAACTCAATCCAATTTGTTTACTTTTTCAAAGATGGAAATCAAAAATTCTGAAAGGGTATATATTTGACGTCTTAATATGAAAATTAACCATATCCCTGAATCATGCATCTTTTTTTCGAAAGGTTCAGTCGTGTCCCTCTGTCCCTCGGACAGGACGTAAAATGGAGGCCCCGTATAGAGGAGAGTTACCACCTTTGAACATTAAGAACTCATTACACTTTTAGTATAAGAGTAGGGAGAAACCATGTTGTAGTGGCCGGCCGGTCCACCTGCACACCCCAACCAGGCCGAGTATATATATGGCATCTGCAAGAATCTTCAGTATGGAAGGAGGCAGATTATCTTGAAGAAGAAGAAGAAAAAAATGAGAGTGATAGAGATGACCAATCAAAGATGCAGTGAATGTGCATTCCTAAGAGGACACTTTTTTTTTTGGGGGGGGGGGGGGTCTCGAAATTTGAAAATTTGACATTTTGTTCCGTTGGGGGGGGGGTTAAGGTCACCTTTTTTTAGGTCAGCCATTGGCATAACTTTTTTTTTTTTTTTATATACAAAAAAAAATAAAAATAAACTCAAAGGGGGGGGGGGGGTTTCACAAAAAACATACACAAAACATACGCATAAAAAACTCAAGGTGGGGTTGGGGGTAGTAATGAGGAGGAGGAGGAGGAGGAGGAGGAGGAAGAGGAGTGCCTTTAATTCAATATTTTATTAATTTAGGTTGCCTATATCTTCTTGATATAAATGAGCATGCGTTTGTAAGAACCTAACTAAAACAAATGATATATTTCCTGCAGATTGAAGTCGATACGAAAAAAACGTCGCAATGTGAAATCGGCTGCTTTGAGGCGAGAGCTGACGGAAGGTACTGTGAAGCAGGGGAGATCTGTCTACATTTGTCTTCCAACTCTTGAAGATCACGTGGGTTACACAGTTGGAAGGGTATTTCTGTTTTTATCACATTTATCCTTTGTTTAACAAGTACAAATAGATTATACAATTCAATTTGCAGAGATGACATAATCATGATGTTGCTACTTTAGTAGTGAAACCTGCATTTTCTTTGTCGATTTTTTTTCTTGTGAATAGCATGTAAAATCACAACGATGATATCCCTGTGACAGATGGCCTTTTCAGGTACTAGAAATGTCCATTACCACCTCTGATAAGTGCCCATTCACCTCTTATATTTGCCCGTTTTCAAACCCGAGAGTTGTCAATTTTATATCAACAGTTTTAAGTGCCTCTTTTCATTTCCAATGAGGCCGTACCCTTAAAAAAATAGTTTGGTCTCTCAATTTTCCTCTCTAGTCATGTCTCTGATATTTTGAGGTGTTTTCAGAGAATTCTTCCTACTAAATCGAATGTTGGACTGGTCTCATCGAGGACGATGACGAGTAACGAATCAAGCACCGAGGCAGCAAGCAAGTTGACTGCAGCATTTGTGACGGTCCCAGATGCTAAAGTTGCTGAAAAGTTGGCCTCGTAAGTTACACGTGCATTTGTTTGTTTGTTTGTTTGTTTGTTTGTTTTTACCTGACTGCTAAAGAAGCAGGTGTATGCTTGTTAGTAAGCAACCAGGGGACCGATGGCTTTAAGTCCTCTCCGAGGGACTTGGTAATGAGACTCACTGCCTTACCAAAGACTAAGAGAGCACTAGCGCATCGACTTGGTTTCAAACCCTCCTTAGCTTATTGTTATTTTCTTACCTTGCTCCATTGGCATTAATACACCTTGGCCATATCCCTAGGGACTAATATTCTATTTCTAGCTTAATTAATATTCATTAGGATGAGTGGATATTGCTGGGATGTCAAACCTTTATCTAACGAACATCGGTCATATTAACGGCGCACAACCAAATATGGGAGACTACCTCCTATAGGCTATACATTGGGAGACTTTTGTCCAGATTTGGGTAGCCTAACTGGGAGTCTCCCATTTGGGATACCAATTTCCTATATTTACATTTGCTGCAAAGGGATTATCTCTGCTACAAATCAAAAGATGATGAGCAGAATCCTCATGAAAAACTACCATTTTTGACACTCTACTTTAAAAATTCACTGACTACTTTTGTTTTCATAACAGGTTTTGTTACAATACACACACAAATCCAAGCACTCCTGACCTCAGCTCAGAGATGCAAAAATTGCTTTATTCAGGCTCGTTTGTTCAACAGATAATTGAAGTTATGAAAAGAGTTATCATAAATAATCATGGAGAGAGACAGAGAGTGGACATGGTTGGCCGTTGGAGTGATCATAGAAATAAGAATAGTCTAGAAATGTCGATATGATTTAAATGTGAAAATGAAATTGTTGTTTTAAAAGTGTCAATATTTCCTTTTATATTGTAAACTAATACAAATAACCTCTCACCAATCTATCTCTAAAACACCAATCATCCAAAACCACTGCCAAACTCGCTCATTTCCTCACATAAATCCTCTCTCCTACGTCTCCAACATAAAAGGGAAATAAGAAAAAAAGTCTACTGTAAAACATTTTCATTCTGACACTTGTCATACAGCCAAAGAATTGCAAGAAATTAAGCATTTTTATCATATTTGTTTCTTCCTTTATTTCTTGACAGAGACATTGTTGAGCAGCATGTGTCAACATCATCCCTGGTTTGACCTCTGTGTATGAATGGGAAGGGAAGATCGAGAAGGACCAAGAACTGCTTTTAATGATCAAGACCAAAAGGACAAAGGTCGATGAACTCTCAGAATTTGTGCGCAAAAATCATCCTTACGATGTCGCTGAGGTCATCAGCCTGCCTATTGAAAATGGAAATCTGCCTTATTTGCAGTGGGTAGCTAAAACTGTACCGGAATGAGATGAAAAATATGAACTTTTGCGGATTCAATTTTTGTGTATCGTACAGTATGTTTTACTGATGCTATCAAATTTCTATACTCTTCATGAACTATAACTGAATTAAGGGCAGTCTTTCTTTCAAATAAAACAAATTACATTTTGACAAACAAAATACCCTGTATTTCTAGCTTGTATCACAAGATCCTTGTGCTCAATATGTTGATGTTCTATCACTGACTTTGTATGAATTCTTAGTGGAAATATCTGACAGGGACTTATAAAATTAAGGCAATCAGTCAACTCTTTTTTCACTGAAGCCCACCATACTAGTCTCACATTTTAGATCCTGACAAGGAAACAAAGATTTTCAACTAAATGGGTGAACACATATGTCAAACATTTGTTTGTCAATTAATTTTTCGTTCATTCATGCATTAAAAAAAAACATTTGTTTAATTTTCAATTTTTTATTTTGTGGTCATTTATTTATTTTCATTATTATTATAATTATTATATCATCTTGTATATAAATATGAACTGCTGAGTTGTTGTTTTCTTAGCCAAGAACGTGTTGACTTATGTTTATCACTCTTGGGTCATTGATTATTTTGTATGAATATCCTTGTAAATCACAGTAGTATAAAGAGCAAATAAAAACACATAATTTCATAAATTTGTGATTTTTTAAATTTCATCTTTTCTTTAATAGGTACTTCACATGTAGTCTACAATTTACATATTTACATATAGATAACCATTAAGGCTTGTTCAGATATCATATGGCGTGGAAAAGAGCCGCAGAAAAGCTGTGTTAATGAATGGCGACTGGACGCAATAAAGGACTTGTGAGTATTCACTGAACTCTGTATTATAAGATAGTGCTGAAGATAAAGGAATGCGAAGCGTACAACACTTCACATCATTAACAAAAAAATGCCGCATTTTGTCACTTCATATTTGAACGAGCCTTTAATGTAATTTCTATTCCCTTTATATTCCATGTATTTGTTTGAATTACAAATACATATACATGTACATATGTTACTTTGGTATCTGCTATCAAACCAGCCTGTTATCAAACCAGAAATCTCTAAATGCATGAAATGTTTTCCCTGAAATTTCACAAGTGCTTCAGATGTGCGAAAGTTTTATGCCATGATATAATTGATACGAATTTGACACAACATGAAATTTTGCAATTCATAAAAACTTTTTGCTGTGAACATGCAGGGCCATACCAGTACTTACAACTCACAAAAAATTCATGTCATGAACATTTTGAGGGTTCAGTGACACAAAGACGTAACTCCATATTTTGCCAAGATTAGTATTTGATATCAAAATGTTCAGAAAAATGTGGGCTTTCCAGGAAACACAAAGACTTAACTCCACCCAACACCCCATTGAAGTCAATGGCTAGTGAAACATAGACTTAACTCATTAAGGCCCAAGTGCTCAGTGACACATAAACCTCTTTTTCTGGAGTTGCGTCTTTGTGTCACTGACCCCTCGATTTGTGGTTTTACATTATACTGACGACATAGGAGGACCTGTCAAACTAGCCACAATAAACGGGTGGTCTTTCTAGGCAGGGATGATGATACAAACATCTCATAGAGGGAACAAAAGTGACCACTATAGACAGGTGGTCCCTCCCTTTCTCTATAAAGACTATATAGATGCAGCAGGTATCCTGTATAGGTCTTTCTTGCATCCACGTATTGTTTTGCATAACATCAACAATAATATTTGATTTGATCAGTCATGGCGATTCTTCTAGTTATTAAAGGGAGTGTATCATGGCAAATACTAGTTAATGCCATCTACGTCTCCTTTTTGGACAACTGCACGTAAACGAATGGACTTGATTAACTGGGTCAGCGCGCGATAGTGTTCACGAAAAAGCCTGAAGTTTTCCTCATGCTTCGGTTTCGCATATGTTGCATGCACGTGCATGCTGCGGTCGCATCGTCCGTAGTTGTATTATCCCTGATTGGCCCCGGGTAGGGCCACGGGAAAGACACATAGTTTCGTCATGACACAATCCCTTTAACTACGACATAGGAACTAACTTTAACAACTTTCAGTACAGTTAAAATCTTTACAATGAGGGACTATGTGTGTAACAATGTTACTGACATCTTTCTTGTTAACCAAGTTGGTCCTTGAAAAGTAACTGAAAATATATAGAAAAATCACATTTTAGGAAGAATTACAAATCAGATGTTCTGAAGTTTTCATTTGCTAGTAATATTTTTGCCATAACAATTCATATTACATGTTTTAAAATGAGAAGATCATAATTTAACAGACTTTTTACAAACTCCAAAATCCATCAACTTCAGACCAGCTGACCAGCTGACCAGCTTCAAATTTTGGCCAATGAATAACTTAAAATTAAATGTTACAAGATTATACTTTTAGCAGTCTACGAAGTAAAGAAGACTTCTCAATCACTGACCATACACATATGTCTGAAATTCTGAATACAATTTATCATGTCAGACACTAAAACTTGTGTGATTTAAACAAAAAAATGATTTCTACAATTACCCATTTTGACATCAAAAACAGAAATGACCACTGACTAATGGTTCTTTCTGGGGAGTGTTTCACAAAGACTAAGATACAACTTTAGGTTAGACTAACTATGGCAGGCAGTTCGTGCCACTGTGTGCTCCCGCCATTTACTGGCATTGGTCTCTCAAGGGACGTACAAATCGTAGTGACAAATCCACATTTCATGATAATTCATTATTGAAGGAAAAAACATGGCATAAACGGCCTGCTATAGTTAAGTCCAACTTAAAGTCGATCTTAGTCTTTGTGAAACTCCCCAGGCTTCTTGCATCACTAACATTATTTGATGGTTATATCAAGAGAGATTTCATTTTTCAGACGTACGTCCTACAGGGCACATTGCATAGAATAGCCTTTTTGTGCATTATATGCTACATCTAGGCCCTGTCTTGATATAAAGAGCTGCGATTGATTCAAAGCGATCTCAACTTGAAATTAAGTGTTACAATTTATCTTCCATGTTATTTGGTCTGATTCAAGCTCTGGTAGGGTTGTGCACTTGATAAAATCATTAACGTTTACAAACACTGGTGATGGTGACCGTAAAGAAAGGGACAAAGCACCTTGGACTTGTCCTGTTAAAGCACCAGGACCCTGTTTCATGAAACTTGTTATCAATGACGAGATGTGATAATTGTTAAGAGATACTGAAATACTCACACTTGATTGGCTTTGAGCAGATTTGTGACAGATCTGTGGCTCTTGTTAGTGATAATAAGTTTGATGAAACAGGGTCCTGAATTACTTGCTGAACAATTACAAATCTACATCAACTTTAAATTTCCTACTATTCGCGATTCAGAGATCAGAATCTTAAAGTACCCCTTCAAACATTTAGATCCTAAAGAGTAAGAGTAAGAAAGTTGATGGTACAATTTGTACATCCCAGAACTGCATATCACTGTCTAACGAGACCCATAAGCTGCTTCTCAATTACAAAGTACTTGGTAAAAGCTCATTCATAGGTACCGGATAGGCCGAAAATATGGTAGCTTAGCAGAAATTGGTGGCACGAAAAGAGCCATCCGGAATGAAAAGTGCATAATTGTTGAAAAATCATAATGTTTTCACGTAGATGTAAATGTCGAATCGTACTGTTAGGATATGGAGCTGGTAAATGCATGCACAATCTTGATTAGGCTTAATGTTACCTAACTTTTATTCGGATGTGCCAAAGAATAACTTTGAATTCACAATCACTACAAACTAATACTGCTTTTGCATTCAAGGGGGGTGTTTCACAAAGATTCTAAGTCAAACTTAACTCTTAAGTTGGACTTAAATATTATGGAGAGCCATTTGTAGCCCTATAATGAAATATATTCAAAAGCAAAAATTCAAGTATTTTAGACTTTTCATAAATTCCACATCAAAAACATGAAATCTCCCATGATAATAGAAAATATGAATGATTTGAATCAGCATTTTATGCCTTTTAAAATAATTTTTACAAAATATTTTCAAGGATGCTAATGGCTTTCCATACTTGTTAAGTCCAACTTAGGATCTTTGTAAAACACCCCCCAGAGGCGTCTTTACATTCCAATACATTTGGCTAAGCTACCTAAATCGAACACTTGGTTGATGCCAGGCTTCATCGTCCTTCACCACTCATATCTGATGGGTTCCAACAGAAGTATTATTGGTGTCCAGTAAGAATGAATTGCTCATTCCGATCCCTCTCTCTCTCTCTCTCTCACTCTCTTACTGGATCTGGGGGAGAGGTCTCATCAGCTTAACCACTGTAAACAAGAGAAAGTCATATGGAAGGACATCAATAATCTGTTCTTGTATAGCCAATAACACATTATGATATAACGTCCCTATGCGCTTCCGAGTAGCTTTAAGAATTATTACCCTAGCTTTAGCTCCAGCAGACGTTATTGGCGCACAGTGCATTTCAAGGAATAATCCTACCAGGTACCCATTTCAGGGGTGATAGTGAGCACTTCCCCCCCCCCCCCCCCCCCCCCCCCCCCCCCCCGGGTAAAAAAATAGGGGGGGGAAATCTGAAAAATAGGGCTAAAAATCAGGATTTTTTTTTTTTAAATGGGGGCAAAAATAAATAAAATAAAATCAGGAAAAAGTCTGGTATGTGCTAAAATACGGAAACCAATTTAAATCGGGTAATTATCAGGCCTGCCATTTACCTCACCTAGGTGGAGTGTGGCAAATGTAGTTTAAAGTCTTGACATTAGTGTTTTGGCAAGAATTTGATTGCACCCTGTACCTTGTGGTTCACAGTCCCGAGACTTATCCATTGGACCACAACACCTCTAAGTAGCGGAGAGTATGACTAACTAGATGGAATTCGACTGTGCGCAGTCGAAAATGATGCCTCCGTCATAGAGCAATTTTACAAACCGAAACGGAAGAAATTTTTCAAATTCAAGTTCAATTGTAATCCATTAACATGTTCTCAGAATATCGTGATTACAAGCAATTTCTCATATACATATATGACCCTTTGATCTTTGACCTCATGACCCTAAAATCTACTCAGTTCATTGGCTCTGCAAGATTTCCTGAGTTAAATAGTAATCCATCTGTCAGTTCTAATGAGAATGCGTCCACAAGCTATTTTTGCATACATAATGAGCCCATGACCTTTGATCTTATGAACCATTCATTGGCTCTGCAAGATACATAAATGATCTAAGTTTGGCAGGAATCCATCAATCTGTTCTAATGATATTACGATCACAAGCTATTTTTGTATACTTAATGAGCCGCATGACCTTGACCTTTACCTCATGACCCCAAAATCTAATCAGTTCATCAGCTCTGCAAGTAACATACATGACCTAAGTTTGGCAGGAATCCATCAATCGGTTCTTGAGATAAGGCGATCACAAGCTGTTTTTGCATACACAATGTGCGCTGTGACCTTTGACCTCGTGACCCCAAAATCTAATCAGTTCATTGGCTTTGCAAGATACATACATGACCAAAGTTTGGCAGGAATCCATCAATCGGTTCTTCAGATAACGCGATCACAAGCTGTTTTTGCATACATAATGAGCCCTGTGACCTTTGACCTCGTGACCCCAAAATCTAATCAGTTCATCAGCTCTGCAAGATACATACATGACCAAAGTTTGGCAGGAATCCATCAATCGGTTGTTCAGATAACGCGATCACAAGCTGTTTTTGCATACATAATGAGCCCTGTGACCTTTGACCTTTGACCTCGTGACCCAAAATGTAATCAGATTGTTTTCCTATAGTGATACACACTATCACTAAGTTTGAAGTTTAAATCTCCAGTGGTTCTTGAGATATCATGATAACAATCTCAATGTATGGAATTTCATAAGTTGACCTCTGTGACCCTTGACCTTTGACCTACGTGCTCCAAAATCTAATCAGATTGTCTTCCTATGGTGATACACACTATCATTAAGTTTGAAGTTTAAATCTCCAGTGGTTCTTGAGATATTATGATAACAATCTCAATGTATGGAATTTCATAAGTTGACCTCTGTGACCCTTGACCTTTGACCTACGTGCTCCAAAATCTACTCAGATCGTCTTCCTATGGTGATACATACTATCCTTAAGTTTGAAGTTTTTAAATCTCCAGTGGTTCTTGAGATATCATGATAACAATCTCAATGTATGGAATTTCATAAGTTGACCTCTGTGACCCTTGACCTTTGACATACGTGCTCCAAAATCTAATCAGATCGTCTTCCTATGGTGATACATACTATCCTTAAGTTTGAAGTTTAAATCTCGAATGGTTCTTGAGATATCGCGCTAACAAACTCAATACAAGGAATTTCATAAGTTGACCTCTGTGACCTGTGACCTTTGACCTACGTACTCCAAAATCTAATCAGATCGTCTTCCTATGGTGATAAATACTATTCCCGAGTCTTAAGTTTAAATCTTAAATGGTTCTTGAGATATTGTGATAACGGTCAAACGGGACGTACGGACGGACGGACGGACAACCCGAAAACATGATGCCTCCGGCACCACCTTCGGTGGCGGAGGCATAAAAATTAAATCTCTTATCTCTTGGAAAGAACAAAAACGCCCAAACCACAGCTTACCTCATTATCTACCCATGAGCCTTCTGGGTCACTGTTCTCATACTCTCCCACGTCCTCTCCACTCTCCTCTATAGCATCCATGTCATCTTCTGCCGTTGCTTCCAGACTATCGCTTGACTTCTCTACCTTGTGCATCCCCTGGAGAGCCTTGTCATTGTTAGGATCCATACTGCAAAGAGAACAGATTAATTAATCTTGAATATCGGCAAATAACAAATAAAGGGAGAAAGAAAAGAGAGGAAGAAAGAAAGAAAGAAAGAAGAAAGGAAGGAAAGACAGGAAGAAAGGAAAAGAATACGAGATAATGTACTCAGTTACAATATTAATGATGCACTAGTTTATAGCACTACATTTTTTACAAAATTTCATTTTTTTTTTTGGGGGGGGGGGGGGGAGACAAAATAGTGACATGAACCACGGTTGACTTCCTGCAGTTTTCTAGGACCTGAAAAATGCATGGAATAACACCAGACATGATCAATACTCTTTATTTTCAAAACAACTACTAGTACTGTAAACCTTAGACTTCTCTCCTATACATGTACATCTTACATTACACAACTCACTCCCAGATCCTAATCAAATGATTGGTCATGTGCGGTCACGTGTGATTCATTTACTGAGCCTATTGCACACTGATTCATGAAAATGCATTCAATATTTTCCAGTCCTATTGCACTCTTTTTCAGTGCGCAGTAGTGCGCGTAGAGGTTAGAGCGCTTAATACTGCGTGTGCGTGGGCCTATTCTTGCGGAGCACTATGCGTAAATGGGTATAGAAGTAAGTGCGCTTGCTATATCTATAGATATGTGTGCGCACTAAATTAAGCCTTATTAAACTTGAGATTTATTTGTCAGCCATATACTGTCACAAAACAATCTTGAATGAATTCTTTTTATGATCTAGGAGTTTCGTTGTATAAAACAAATGATGCATGTTTTTATTCGTTCATTATACGATCTAGCCACCCTTGTTGATGCTGTATGTATCTATCGCACTCAACACAGCCTCAACTCGAGTGCGGATAGATCATATATTGAACTCATACGCATGCATCATTTGTATACTGTTAACTACCACAAAGGACTCTCTATAACTCTCTTAAATTCTTCAAAACTAACCCTTAGTCCATACCCCCTTGAGACTTCCCCTAGAAAGGGGTGCTAAATTTATATAGGTAATTTTCTGATTTGGAGGGTGGATGGGGGGGGGGGTGTCCTGTTCTTGTTTGTGTTATTGGCAGTGTTTAACCCTTTCAAGAGAGAATTTATCTCACAGCTAAATTAATCACTTATCATTCTTCAAATTGGCAACAACAATATTTTTCTTTTATTGCTAAATTGTTGTTATAAAATGTTATGTTTCTGAATACAAATATATGGGTAGGAACTTGGGCAAAAAGTTGGAAAGAAAAATAATTGAAATTTTTTATTGGAAATTCAATGATTTTGAAGACTTTTAACATGTTGTCAATTTGAGGAATTTTTTCTTTTTCTTTAATAGAATTCCTATCATCAAACACAATATGGTACTGCGACACCCACATCCGTTTTTTTTTTTTTTTTACAGCTCTGCTTCAAAACTTATTTAAGCCAAACAACAAAATGTGGAATGGTTGTCACGGAGGTGTTAAAAGTATGTGTTTACCTGAGAGCTATACTGTACTGATCAAGAGCCTCCTGAGGTTCAGTGTTGAGTGCTAGACAATCACCTAGCATCTGATGGAGCTGACTCGTACTCTGCTGCTCCAACTGCTTACGAATTCTACAAAATAACAATTCTTTGATTAGGCCTCTTATAGAATTAACCAGCACACAATTACAAAATGATGATAATAATTGTATCGTTAAAGCTCTTATAGAATTAAGCAGCAAACTTTTTAGCAATATAAGACTTTAGAATGTAATGGGTGTTTTGAAATTTGGGGAAAATGAAACGATTGTCCTATTGATGTAATAACTCTCCAGACATGGTCAATAAATAGTGAATGAATAAATAATTTAAAAAAAAAGAAAAAACTGAATTGTTGCATGAATCATATTCTTAAAGGCATCATTTAACATAAACAAATCTGAGATGCATGGCCCTGCGTGTTATCAGTGCCTGTGATATGGTGTAATATTGAAGCCCTAAAGAAATTGCGCTTCAAAATTATCATGAAGTGCCTCAAAAAAGTAAAAATCTTTGAGCAACCTGTTTTACCTTACTCATTTTCCCCAATAGACGGTAGTGCTATAAAAACTTACAAAAACAAAAAATGAAATTTCGATTTCCAATCATATATATCTTGATAATCAGACAGGCGATCTGCTTGTAAAAGTCATGGGATTCCTGACTGATCTACAGGTTTATAATTATGATTGCAGCATGAGCTGAATCCAGGATTTTGTCTCAAAAATTGAGACAATGTTACCTACATGTAGTCACTTTAAACACAATGTACCCAACATCTCATTTGTATGTATATATCTCAATTACACTTCCCTAGACAAGGAAACTTACAGGTTAATAGCATCTGAGTATTTCTGTTCTTCGTTGAGTATGTCGACCATGAGGTAGATGGCAGGGAGGTAGTTGGGATCCTGAAGTAGCATTTTGTCAAGAAGTGATTTAGCCTGTGGAGAAAATAAAAACACAAAGGAATAAAGATGAAATAATTTTCACATTAAAGCCCCTCTGCAATAGTTTGGCCAGGAGGGATTAGACCTCCCTGCTTGGTCACTGACAGGTGGTTATCTCATTAAAGCAGCTCTCAATTAACATAAGAAAAAGGGGATCATGGGGGACGAATGGTCACCGATTAGGCATTGTTTGCTATAAGTAGTGCAGAGGGGATTTAAGGAAAACCTGACTGCCTGCTGTGAGCACCTCTCCATAATAACCACCCAATTATTTCCCCTTGAAAGAATTAGTATCTCAATGAAGAAACTCAGTCAAACGGATGATATACAGTCTGGACAGGATACCTCAGTATCAGCTTTAGAGAAAGGTCTAAAACCTATGCATACACAGGCAACACCCTGCTGAAATTCATTTTTTTGTCTTCCTAAAATGTATAAATTATTATTAAGATTTGTTTATTACCAATGTAACTATGTTTTGTATACATTTTACATTGTATTCGTTATTATGTATTGTATTTTGTTGGAAATGAAAAAATAAAAATGAAATGAAATGAAATGAAGTCTCTATTAACCTGTTTGACTACTGAAATCTCTCATTTCTTGCTAAGTGTAACCATCTGGTATTGTAAGGGTACCTCAGCTGGGTTCCTAAATCCGAAAGCGCATTTGAGCGATGGAACCCGATTAGAAAACTGCCTTGGAAGCAGCCATTACAACGGCAATCAAACAAGGGGGGGGGGGGGGGGGGGAGAGAGAGAGAGAGAGAGGGATCACTTGGTTTCAGTAGGCAATAGGTTAACTTTATTCTTCTATAGAGTAACGAAGCTGTGACATCAACAAAATCTATTTTGAGAATTTCTCAATTTGAACTTCATTTTCCGAAAGAGCAACAAAATAATGTCCAAACTTCAAAAACCAATTGAATATGTTAAGTATTGGCTTAGATATGACCATCTGAATAAATAGATTTCAATTTCTTACCTTATCCATAGACAGTCTATCCCTGGCCAGCAGAGAAGCAAGGAAGGTGATAGTACGAGGGTTGTTGCCTAGGACCTTGACAGAGTTGGTGAAAGTTGTGATGGCGTCTCGTATCCTGCTGGCCTTCACGTAGCACTCAACCAAACCTAAACAAACAAGCAATAATAATAATAATAATTATAGGCATTTCTATAGCGCTGTCTATCTAGAAATTCTATTCAGAGGCGCATTAATTATTACCCCGGCTTTAGCCTAACTGCAATTACAGCGCTCCAGCATTTCAATGAATTAATTCCTGCCAGGTACCCATTTACCTCACTTGGGTCAAGTGTGGCAAATGAAGATTAATGCCTTGCCAGAGGACATAAGTGCCGTATCAGGGATCGAACCACAACCTTTGAATTTCAAGTCAAGTGCTTAAACCACTCGACTACGACACTTCTACAGGGATGACATACCTAGATTCACCAAGGATTTGCTATGACTTTTCTCTCTTACAAATTTTTGTAACAATATGAATTATGGTAGTTTGGGAACTTTGTTAGGAGCTCATTTACTACTAAACTCATTCTCCTTTCATACAGAAAATATGCATAGCAGGATGTACATCAGCAAGATCACTACATGGAAATCCTTGATAGTCTTCAATGGTAATTCCTTAAAATTAATGAAATTAGATATTCCAATAATGTTGGATCACAAATTTGTACAGAAATTATGACTCTCATAGCCACATGTAAAGAAAGATAGGCTCATTTTATCAGTGGAGAGGTAGAAAGGCTTTATCCCTTTGTCTACTGATATCATTTAACACCTTTTAGCTCTCAGTAAATGGTTGGCAATACATCATCCTTCTCATTCTATATACATGTTACATTCGGTTTCATCATTTTTACCACTCTCCATAATGACAGTATAAGAGGTTGATTCAACTTCACATCCCCTCATATCAACTACCTCATATTTCTCCTTTACAAGGAATAACCATGACTGAAGTCTTACCTTTGTGAGCTTCATATCTACCAAGAGCACATCTCACAGCCTCCCTGAAATAAACGTGTTTTTTTTTTGCGTACCTTGCCCCCCTCCCTCCCCAATGACGTCAGTGCCCTCACTGAATGACCCATGGTATGTCACTGAAAGGAATAACCATGACACTACTCTTACCTTCGTGAGCCTCAAATCTGCTAGGAGCACATCTGACAGCCTCTCTGAAATGCAGGGTAGCTTCCGGGACCTTGTTCATCTCTAGGAGCCCCTTACCCTTGAGGAGTAGGGCCTGCACCTTGCCTCCTTTCAGTGGATAAGCCTAGAGATAAACAGAATACATGGAGGGTGAATCACAAAACTTGTCATAATAATAATAATAATAATAATATAATAATAGCCTAATAGTCCACTCCAAATTTTATCAAACCGAAACGGAAATTCTTTTTGCCCAATTTATCG